TCTGCGCGCCATCGCCGCATAAAAAAAAGAAAATCCTAAACCCAATAACACTGCAAGACTAGACTGGACAAGACATGCCGCACAACACTCTGTGCCACACAGCACGACAGAGACGACACAGCGGTGAGTGACCTGAGGGAGAGAGAGAGAGAGAACGAGAGGCCGACCAAGCTGTGCCTGTGTGTGTCTGTGTGCGAAGGACCTCAACCCCCAACGAGCGCAAAAAATGGAGCAAGCTCAGGGTGAGGTCAAGGACACCAGTAAGGCGACAACAGCAGGGACAGCCTCGCCATCAACACAGCAGGCTGCCACAGCAGCAGACACACAGCAGAGCGCTTCAGCAGGAGTACGAGAAGAAGAAAACAAATCGCCAAGCAAGGACGATGCGAAGGGGGAGGACGAAGGTGGTGACGCCGCTGGCATGTGGATGTATCTGGACGGAGCCAATCCCACCCAGCACGGGCCGTTGACGGAGAGTCTCATGCTCAAGCTCCTGAGGATCGGGACAGCACACAAAGATATGATGGCGTGGTCGCAGGGCATGTCTGAGTGGCAGCCTCTCGGACAGGTGGGTCTCAGCCTAGGAGTGTCTCATCTGAACGGGCTTGGTTATTCATTGCTTTATTTTTGGGTGCTGTTGACGTTGTACAGGTACTCTATGCGCAGTAGTCTATCGCTCCGATCCTGCTGTGCGTGACTAAAAAAGCACAGGCCCCCCCGGAACCTACTGCTGTACCTCGCCTTCTCCAATCCTGCTCGCCGACCAAAACGCATACCCGTACCGACGCCATACTGCTGCTGTACGTAACTGCAGCAGCCATACCTCGTGCCTAACTGGTCGTCTGGCTGCGTTTGTTTTTCTGGGCATATTTCCTGCTGTGTATAGGATCTGTCCTGCGGCCCTGTTTGGCAAAAATCACGTAGTACCGTGAGTTCCATTTATTAATAGGTCCGGAATTCCGGCTGACTGCCCAGGACGCCGTCGACAACACCTTTTCCAGGCCCCGAAGGATGTTCGGTTGATTCCTCGCGCCTCTCCAGTAGCGGAATTGACCGAAATTGACGCAGAGGGTTAGCGACTGGTGTGGTGACTTCACTACGCATGCAGTCTGGATCCCTGTATGCATAGATCGAGGCGCTACCGTGGTCTGCCGTGTCTTGTCGGTATAGATGCCCAGCCCCACCTGTCGTTTCACCCGTTCACAACCCAAAAACGACGTACACGTAGATGAACATGTTGCCTCGTAATTTGTTCAACGTTTTTATCGCTTGTCGTTCTTTCGCAGATCGAGGCATTCCGAGAAACCAGCGAGCTCGCCGCTACCCCGTGGCTCTACCTGGGAGAGAACTCGGAACAACGAGGGTGAGGAAATTTGAATTGTCGTTGTCCCAGCAGTCTGTGCCTTCTGCAGTTCGATTTTGCGAAACCTTCGATGGGTGCCACAACAGCATGGTAGAAGCCATGCAGCTCGAGCCAGCGACAAGCTCAAGAGCTAGTCATTCGCGTTCAACAACGGGAGCTCCTATACGGTGACCCTCAATGGAACGATATTTCCTATCGCGTTCGTCTGCCCTTCAGCAGCAGTGACTGCCTCTGATCTTCGCACCAATCGCATTCGCCCATGTTTGTTCTACCACGTCTGTTCTACCGCCTTTATAGATACATGCATCGACCTGTATTGGTTCGTGTTATGTGCTTCTTCCGTTACCTCGTGCGTTTCTCGTGACCCCTGGTTTTCGTTTGTTTATCCACCGTACCCGCGTGCCGTTGCGGGGTGCCTTTTCCTCAGGCCGGTAAGCGCCGCCGCTCTGTCACGGCTGCTCCGACAGGGTGAGGTGGACGGAATGACCATGGCCTGGACCACGGGGATGGGAGACTGGAAGCCCCTTGGCGAGGTAAGCCGCATTTTGTACGTTAGGAGCGTTCGGCATAAGGCAGAGGGACCTCCCCCGCGCCGCGTAGCGAACCCTTTACCTTGCTGACGAAGCTCTACAACCGTTTTCGGCTAGATACACAGACGTCTTCAAGCACATTCAGTGGGAGAGAGCGTTCAAGCGCGCGGCTCGGCATGCATGGTCCAGAAGCACAGGCAAATGAGGTATAAAGAGTCCAATTCGGTGCTCTCGACCTCGAGAATGTCATATAACGATCTTAAATGGCCACTCTTGTTGGTTGCGGGCCGATCAACTATGCGACCTGTGCAGGTATCGGAGTTGCGGCCACTGTTGCAGGATGGGGATGACGAAGAGGAGGAGGAAGAAGGGATGGGGGCGAACGAAGCTCCCGAGAAGATGATGGTCTTCGAGGCAGACGATGAGGCGCAGCCCGCGTATGAGCCGCCTCCTAAGAAGGAGGTGAGAGTGGCTGACTCGCCGTTTTGGCATGCTGGTGAACTTTGGCCGCTGTTCGGTTGTTTTCTCGAGCACTGATGTCAGCAGGTTCAGTGACGCCATGCACGCTGTGTAGAGTAGAGGGTTTGGGCTGCTTGTTGTGAAAATCGCACTCTCACGGATTCGAACGAAGCGCGCGTGTGTGTGTTTGCCGTCTGCTGTGCTGGTGTTGGCATTGTTGCACATACCGTCGGCGGGAAGCAAGAAAGCGGCGCGATGAAACCGCCGCAGCTCGTCCCGGTGAAGGGGCGTGCAGTTCGTTCGTGTTGTCGTTGTGGACGGTGCCCCCTACCGGTTGCTTCTTAACAGACTGATGCACAAACTCGTGGTGTCCGCTGTTGTCGTCGCGTGGTGATCGTGGCAGAGCAAGCGGAGCTTCATGGCCGACGACGGTACCAAGTTTGCTTGGGACGAGGAGCAGGGGGATTGGAAGGAGGTAGAGGGAGATGAAGAGGAAGAGTTAGAGGAAGAGGAAGAGGTGAGCTTGTGGTTGGCTTGTTGCTGAAGATGGTGATTTGGCGTTGTCGCTGTTTGTTGCTGGTGTTGTTGATGCTGTCGTCGCTGCCTTGTGCCATGCGTACGATGGTTGCCCCATCTTGGCGTGTCATTCCCCTTGCCCTCTCCGTCGTGCTGAAGTAGTCGCTGTGTCGTTGTATATTACACAGTACGCAGTTTGGCTCCGCAGACCGCTCCGACACTTCCTCAGCACGGAACCCCTCGAGTTCCTCGACAGAGTCTCCACCTGTGGAACCCGTCCTAAGCAACCCTCGCTCCTCCATTGTTGCTTTTTCCAGGAGGAAGAACCGTGGAAAATTCGAAGAGCCAAGCAGCAGGCCAAGCTCAAGGCCAAATCCAAGGAGGACAAGAAGGCCAACAGGGACGCCGCCGCCGGCCAGAAGGCTGGCACGGGGGTCGCGGTAGCGGCAGGCGGTGACGACGATCCCGACACGGCGCACTGGGGGGAGCTGCTAGAGGATGCCAAGAGGGAGGCCGAGGGGGTGGGGGGGGGGGGGGAG